ATTTTTTTTTTTTAAGAGAGATTTTTGCTATAGTGTGCTTGCGTTCACCAGAGAGACAGAGAGGGACAGAGAGATAGAAAGGAAGAAATTGCCTCTCCCCGCCCAGGGTGGTGGGGGATGGCCACACAGCAATCCCCTCTCCAGTCTCCTCTCAGGATTTTGGGTACACACACAGGTGCCCAGTGTGAGTTTCAGGTTGCCGGGTCCAGGACTAGAGCCATGGTTGACCATGTGGGAGTCCAGTGACATAACCATTACGCTACTCACTGGTCCCCACAGTGCACTTCCTAAGCTGACCAGGGGACCCAAATCCATGACTGGTTATGTGGCTCCCAGCCTTACAGAGTACTTGTGTCACTGCTGTGCTGCAGTGCGGGGGCCACCTACCACATTCACACTTTTTGCCGTGTGCTATTAGTTCTCTTTAAGTTCACACATAAGCAGTTGATTTTTTTTTTAAAGAATTATTTAATTTTTAAAATGTATTTTTTTTAATTTGCTATAGGGCATGTGCACTCACCAGAGACAGAGACAGAGAGAGAGGGAAAGTGAGAAAGCAAGCCTCCAGGTTTGGGACTCGAACCATGGTTGGCCAGTGAGAGCCCAGTGCCTTAACCACTACATCACCTACCTGGCCCCAGCAGTTGATTTAAGTTTATATATGTCTCCCATGAGTAAGAGAAAGAGACAGCACCCCGCATGGTCTTGATGCCACAACGCCCTCCAGCCTTCAGCCAGCCTGGATCACAGCAGGTGTGAGCCAGGGTGCTCAAGGAGGTCTCCAGACGAGCCTCCGTGTGGGAGTGCCCTGCACAGGTGGTTCACCACTGGCCACCATCTGACCCCTAAGCTGCCGATTTTCAAAGGTTCGCCAATACACCTGAAATCAACTTAAGTAGCTCAAGAGTGTGGGGACCAGCAGTTAGCGTAATGGCTATGTCTCTGGACTCCCATGTACTCGACTGTGGTTCAAGTCCTGGACCCGGTGGCTTAAACTCAAGCTGGGTGCGTGTGCGTGCGTGCCCAAGATCCTGAGAGCAGAATGGAGGAGAAGGGATTGCGGCGTGGCCATCCACCCTGGGGAGTGATTTCTAACTTTCTGTCTCTCTGTCTCTCTCTGTCTTTCTGGCCAACGCACACGCCCTATAGCGAAACCTCTCCAAGAAAAGAAGAAAGGAAAAAAAAAAAAAAGAGTGCGCATCATCCTTCCTAGTAGGTTGGGTTTGAATACAAGCAGTTCCTTTGCAGAAGGCACCCTGGGGAGTGAGAAGGGAGAAGGCAAAGGGGAAGCTGAGGTGGGTGTGCCGCTGGGCAGGTGTAGGGGGTGCGTTCGGGGCCTCCCATCCGAGGAAGCGAGGGAGCTGGGCCCCGAGGAAGCGCGAGGGAGCTGGGCACTTGTCTTGTAAAGCGTGGGTTTTGTTGTTTCGTTTTGTTTTTGCTAAAGGGCGTGTGTGCTCACCAGAGAGACAGGGAGAGGAAAAACCACCCTCCATGGGGAATGGTCACCCCACAATGCCTTCTCCATCTCTTCTTCCTTTTGGGATTTGGGGCACACATGCACACACACCCGGTGTGCTTCTCGATCTGCTGAGTCCAGGACTCAAACCACAGGTTTGGCCATGTGAAAGCCAGCCACCTTAACCATGAGGCCATGAGCTGGCCCCTGTCCCCAAATGTTAAAGGTGGGGGGACGGCAGATGCTAATGCAGCGATAATGCGGTGCTCTGCAAGTCTGACCGCCTGAGCACGCTGGGTTCACGCTGCCCGGGACCTGGGCTGGCTTGGGCTGGGGGCAGGCCGCCGCGTGATGTCCCTGTAGAGGGTGCTCGCTCGCCCTCTGCTTCTCTTGCCTGTGGAAGAAACAAATGAAACAAGAAAAGAACCATGGTCGATGAGGCCCAGCGCCCACTGCTCCGGGGTCCCGCGGGCGGGGCCTGCACTCGGGCATCACCCTGTATTTTACGTCATGGACTCTGAGTCCAGTCCAAGCCAGGGGTGGAGGCGGAGGTGCCCCTGCCTCCCTGAGCTTCCCTGGGCACAGACCGGGATGCTAGGATGGCAGCGTTGTGGCTGCGCTCCGATGCTCTCAGGGAGGAAGACAAAGACGAGCGGACACGCTCTCCTCTTACCTGAGGTAACACAGCCTGTGTAAGGCTACACCCGGAAGCTCACT